CTGTGTTTTAGGATACAAAATAAAAAATAATTATTAATTAATAATAATTATTTTTTTATTATAAAAGTGATAAAATTATTTTTTATTTTAATTATTTTTATCATATATTTAATTTTTTATTTTTCAACTTTCTAATAATTAAATAACTAAAATTAAAAAAATTAATAACAATTTACATATAACTTATTAATTAGTTATTTGTTTATTTAATTAATTCGACTATTTATCCAGTACAATAAACATGGAACAATTTTCGGCAAAAGCAGGAAAAATGATTCAGAAAAGCAACTATTGACCTATGGAAAACAAAATGCCAGCATGTGACGCTGTAGTGAAGAGATCAGTTTGATCATAGACTAAAATGTTTTTTGTTTTTTGTTTTTTTAAATAATCAGAGATGAACTGTTTGGACAGATGGAAATATACAGTTATTACCAGCGTCCGACACCGTAGGCGGATGCGAGTGAGGGTCTAGAGCGCAGCTCCATGCGAAATACAAAAGAAATGCCACACAATTACGAATGAGCGTGGCGAAGTTCTGGTTGTGGTTCAAGTGGCCCTGTAAAAAAAAATAATAATAATTTTTTTAAAAAAATAGGAGATTTGAGTTCTATTTTTGTGTTAAAAAATTATTGTTAATAAATTTGTTATTAATAAATGATTAATATTAAATAATATCATATGTTAAATTTAAAATAATTTATTAAAATAAAAAATTTTATAAATGAAATATATTCTTAATTTTTTTTCAAAAATAAATTCATTCTTCCTAAGTAACTTTAGAAATAGAGTTGAACATTCTGTCATTCTGTTTTTATTCATTAAGATCATTTACCGTAATCTTATTTTATAATAAAATTTTTTAACTTAATACATAAATTAACATATATAATATAAACCCATCAATAATATAAAAGATTAGTAAATAACATTGTAGCACTTGCGGCTCCGGCTGCGTTGGAAGTGCTCCTTTCTCTTGGCGTCTATGCCAAGAGTTTTAGTTGCCAGTGCTGCAGCAATATTATATCTACCTCCTATCCCCCAATTTCTCACTGATCAAAAAAAAAAAAAGTAAATAACATTGTAATTATATTAATTTTATTATTATAATTTAATATAATGCCAGAGGTTTCCTTATCATTTTTCCGCAAAAATTACAATTGTATTTGTTCTGCACGGTTAGGCAAAAGTGATTTAATCACTTGTCCTGAGAACACCGTCAATTATGAGTGGGTTAAAATCAAGTTAAAAATTTATAATCTAACCAAATTTAAAGATAGACAAAATTGTTGTCAATAATTAAGTTTTAATTGAGTTTTAAATTTATTTGATTAAAAATTAAATTA